ACTTCACAGTTCACCATATAGCAATAACCACTATAAATGTTTATGGCTATAGAAAAGTCAAGAACTATAAGCATTAAATATAAGCCTTACATCACCATTCCCATAGCATGATGATATAATAGAAAAGAAAGTGTGATTTCTTCTACATTGTCCATGTTAAAATGGCCAGCCATCTTGCTGTCAAGGTGAAAACTATTTTTTTGTTGCTGTTGTTAGTCGTGGGGCTTGAACTCTGGGCCTGGGCAATGTCCCTCAGCACTTCAGCTCAAGGCTAGCACTCTATCACTTGAGCCACAGTGCCACTTCCAGTTTTCTGTTTGTTTATTGAAGATAAGAGTCTCATGGAGTTTCCTATCTGGGCTGGCTTTGAACCGAGATCCTCAGATGTCAGCCTCCTGAGTAGCTAGGATTACAGGCTTGAGCCACCGATGCCCGGCTGGCAGAAATTTTTAAAGCTAAATCTGAAGTCCAGAAGTTATAAAAGCCATCACAGTAAACTTTAGTATATAAACTTACCTACATCAAAAGATACTAAGTGTGAAATCAGCAGAGGTGAGAAAACATAGAAAATGTGCAAGATTGTAATTTACTATGAGGTAAAAATTAAATATAAATAACCAATTATATGTACGTATTCAGAAAAGCAGTTCTACTGAGTAAAGAGAGTAAAGTGAAAAGTAAAAAGTGTGTGTGTGTGTGGGGGGGTGTTTTGCTGGATTTTAACCAGGGATTTGTATGTACTATGTTAAATCCTTCTAATCAATTATCTATATTACCAGTTCTTAAGATACATGTTTAAATTTTATCCAGTTTAATGAAATAAATGATAAAAAGTATCTTCACTTACATATATTTTGATATACATATATATGTATATATATATATATATATATATATATATAAAGCACATATGTACTTCTTTTATAATTGTGGGACTAGTAGAGAAAAGGTGAAGAGATTCACAGTAGTTTGTCAATGTAAATTGCAAAGGATATTTGTCAAGCAGTAGAAGCCAGAGATGTGTCAAATTTAAAAGGGAGCTGGGTATTGGTAGCTCCCGTCTGCAATCTCTAGCTAGTCAGAATACTGAGATCTGAGAATTGAGGTTCAAAGCCAGCCTGGGCAGACAAATCCAGAAGATTCTTAACTCCAATTAACCAGCAAAAAGCTGAAATAGAGGTATAGTTCAAGTGGCCAGCCTTAAGCAACAAAGCTAAACAAGAACAAAGTCCTGAGTTCTCAAGGCCAGTACTAGCACAGGAAAAAATAAAATTAAAAAATAAACATAGGCTCAGCATTATTGGCTTATGTCTGAAATCTAGACTAATAAAGAGGCTAGGATCTGAGGGTTGCAGTTCAAAGTCAGCTGGGGCAGGAAAGTCCAGGAGACTCTTACCTCCAAAAAAACAACAAAAAAGAACTGGAAGTAGAGCTATGATTGATGTGGTAGAACACTAGCCTTGAGCACAAAAGCTCAGGAATAGCACCCAGGCCCAGAGTTCAAGCCCCAGGATCAGCCATATAAATAAATACACACACACACACACACACACACACACACACACACACACACTCTCTCTCTCTCTCTCTCTCTCTCTCTCTCTCTCTCTCTCTCTCTCTCTCTAACAAATAGGCAGGATGCTGGTGGATTACACCTGTAATCTTAGCCACTCAGGAGTCTGAGATCTAAGGGTCGTGGTTCCAAGCCAGCCCAGGAAGGAAAGTCTATGAGACTCTGATCTCCAATAAACTACTCAGAAAAAACCAGAAATGGTGCTGTGGCTCAAGTGAGAGAGTATTAGTCTTGAGGAAAAAAAGCTTAGGGACTGGATCCAAGCCTTGAGTCAAGCTCCAGGACTTCCACAAAAAAAATAAAAATAAATTTTTTAAAAAGTAAAGGAAAAAAGAAAAAGACTATACTAAAATATATAGGCTGAGCCAGGTGCCAGTGGCTCATGCCTGTAATCCTAGCTACTCAGGAGGCTGAGATCTGAGGATCGCAGTTCAAAGTCAGTGAGACTCTAATCTCCAATAAACCACCAGAAAACCAGAAGTGACACTGTGGCTCAAGTGACACAACACTAGCCTTGAGCTAAAGAGCGCAGGGACAGCACCCAGGCCCAGAGTTCAAGCCCCACAACCAAATAAATAAATAAAATACCTAGGATGCATGATATCACATGCCAAACTTAAAAAAATTCTATGCCTTACTTGGTGCTGTGGCTCATGTTTGTAATCCTAGCTACTGAGTAGACTAAGATCTGAGGATTACTGTTTGAAGCCAACATGGGCAGAAAAGACAATGAGATTCTCTTCAATTAAGCACCAATTAAGATGGAAGTGGAGCTGTGGCTCAACAGCTAGTGTAAGTGTACTTGTGTGCATGCATCTGTGTGTGTGCGTGTGAATATGTGTGTCTATTTTATTAGAGGAATACTGGTCAGTTCAACCTCATTTTATGACTGCAGAGGTCAGCAAATATTTTATTAAAAAAACAAGATATCGAGTATTTTAGTATTTCTGGGTTATAACATCTTTGTCACAAGTATTTAATCCTGTTGAAGAAAATTTTCTAATTCTCTTGTAGGGGCAAAGTAGTGATAAATAAGTGATGGTTAATTTTATACGTCCAACTTGACAAAGCTATATAGTACCCAGTTATTCAAATATCAAGTCTAATCTAGGTTTTGCTGTGAAAGTATTTTATAGTTGTGGTTAATATGTATAATCTGTTATTTCTAAGTAAAGAAGATTACTCTCATCCAATCATCTTCTGGAACAAAAACAAAATTGTTTCTCAAAACTGTAGCATCAACTGCTGTGTAAGTTTTGAGCATGTTAGGCCACTCTACAAATTTCAAACTTGCCAGCTGTCATAACTTCATTAGCCATACATAAACTAGTGGGCACAACTGTATTCCAATAAAGCATTTACAATACATGTGCTAAGTAAAAGTAGACTTGAATTTTTTACCCTCTAGTTTTACATACATAACTCAGCTTTTTGTTTGTTTGTTTTTGTTGGTCATAGGGCTTGAACTCTGGGCTTGGACCCTGTCCTTGAGCTCTTCAGCTCAGGGCAAGCACTCTACCGCTTGAGACACAGTGCCACTAACAGTTTTCTAGTGGTTTATTGGAGATAAGAGTCTCACAGACTTTCCTGCCTGGGCTGGCTTTGAACCGAGATCCTCAGATTTCAGTCTACTGAGTAGCTAGGATTACAGGAGTGAGCCACCGGCGCCCGGCCCATAACTCAGCTTTTATTAAGCACTTTCTATGTTTCAGGTGGTATTACAGATACATATGATATGGGAATTGTACCTTATAAATTGGTGATTGTTCCTATTTAGGCAAGATATTCTGGAGCAACTATGAGCAGAAATGATCTTCCCAGTAAGTCTGAGAGATATATAGAGTGAAGCTTAAGTGTGAGAGATGTTTCTCTGGAGGGTTTGAAGATGGTATACTTTTTATGTGTGTTTTGTATCTATTTAACTATTGCCTTTGTAGATTGACAGCTTTTGCTGTTAATCTAGCACACAAAAAAAACCTGACTAACAGAATGTTTTGGATGTTCATTTATTAAATACGATACTTTTCATTTAAGGAAAAAAACTTACAAAAGTACTAAATAAAGGGTTTATAGTTTTGGGTAAGAAAGGAATTCCTTTCATTGAAGATGTAAAACATAGGAATTTTGTGTCATATATTTCTTAGAAATAGTGACCCTTAATCTATAGATTGTAATTTACATATTGATTTAAATAGGAGTTGGAGGCACAGCTCAGTTGTTAAGAGTGCCAGCCAATGAGCAAAAGATCAGATACTGAGTTCCAGTCCCGGTCTTTTACAAAAAAAAAAAAAATTAAATAGTACATTGTCAAATTAGTTGATGCCACTGGGTTCCCTTCTCTAGCCTCGGGATTAATAAAAAATTGCTATCTTTTGTTTTCAATTTAATTCATTGTAAGTACAGGTAGACCTGTTTCTCAAAAGATTAGGAAATAATCTACAATTGAAAAGTATATGATATGTCAAAAGCTAATATAACACTATCTTTTCAAAATTAAAGAGTATAGGCCAGGCACCAGTGACTGACCCTTGTAATCTTAATTAAACAGGGGGCTGAGGGGAGTATTATGATTGGAAGCTAGAAAAATCTTCAAAACTCCATCTCCAAAAATAACAACAAAAAGCCAGGCTGAGGTGTGCCTGAAGTGGTAGAACACCTACTGTGAGCAGAAAAGCTGAGAAAGTCTAGGTCCAAGGACCAGCAACGAAAGAGGAAAAAGTAAAGAGAATGTCTATACAATTGCCTTTGGAATACAAGTGTCGTAGTTTATGTTGCATAATGATTAAAAGAATAATTTTGAAATTCAATATCTATAAGAGAATTCTAATCGATCTGGGAGACTAAAAAAAAAAAGACAGTAAAAGGTTATATGCCTATAACTGACAAATTTGTAAAGTAGAAGAAGGAAATTAGTATCTGTCAGTAGGTCCTAACTTAAGAAGTTGAAAATAGAAGCTAATGTGAGTGATGGTGAACTGGCAGGTGGTAAACAAAGATATTTAGATACAGAAGGAGTGCCATAGTTACCATAAAGGATCAAAAGTGTATCAAAGAAAGGGCAAGTGGAAGAAGGCTATGAAAGTTTAGATGGTTTAGAACAGCTCTGATACTTGCTTGTCATTTTTCATAAACTTCAGTTCAAAAAACATGGTTACTCTTGGACCTACATGTGTTCAACATAGCAAACTTTCTGTAATTAGTTGTGGATAATGGTAACTACCTTGAAACTTTCAACACAGAATTCTGTCTCTGTCTCTGTATCTGTGTTTCTGTCTCACTCACCCACACATACACATACTTAGCCATTCACAAAATAATAAAATCTGTGCTATCAGTACTCTTTAACTTATTTACTAACATCAACAGAAAAATAAAACTAGAATGTGGAGAGCCTATTTCAATAGAATGATGCTCATGTCACACTTACCTGTAATAATATCCTCAGTGCTGGGAGGAGACGAAGCCATAATCTGCCAAAATCTCCACCATCCTTGCCCAATTTGGGGATTCTGTAGAGAAGTTCTCACTACAGGATTTGAATGCCATAGTTCAGAAAAATGGTGCAGTCATTCCTCTTAGCGCAGAGTAAGTTTGAAAAGGTGTTTAAGGGACCTATGTAATAGTAAGTCCCAGAAAGACAATTATTAGTGGTGATTTGAAGACAGAATTTAATAACAGTTATAGAATGTATGTTCTAAGGAAATGATGCATTATCTCTCTGAATCCTTTCAAATAAAGTATTGTTATTAACCCCAATTTACAGAAAGCCTAGACTTAGCAATGTTCAAGAACTGCTCAAGATAAAGATAGTAGGAGGCAGGGCTAGAATCTGACTTCATGCACTGATTCCTCAAGGTGTGTATATACATACATACATACATACAATAAAAACACTTTGGTATAGGGCCATCAAACAAGATAGAAAGTTATTTGACTTTAAAGGATAAATTTTCTCAAAAGTAATCTGTGTACATTTTATTCCCAACAATGTTCTTTTCAATACCCTAAAAGCTAGACTTTGCATTTGTAGGTCGGCTTTATTGTTTGTGTGTGTGTGTGTGTGTGTGTGTGTGTGTGTGTGTGTGTGTGTGTGTGTATGTGTGTGTGCTGGGGCTTGAACTCTGGGCTTGGGCACTGTCCCTGGGCTTCTTTTGCACAAGATTAGTGCTTTACACTTATTACTTGAGTTACAGTGCCACTCCAGCTTTTATGAGTAGATCAGAGTCTTAGGGACTTTCCTGGCCCACCTGGCTTGCAACTGCGATCCTCAGATGTCAGCCTCCTGAGTAGGATTACAGGCGTGAGCCACCAGTGCCTGGCTATAGGTCAACTTTAAATGCTCAAACTTTTAAGTCTTTAAAATTCATAGTAGTTAAAAATTTATCAGAATGGAGCATGAAGAAGCTGTTAGTCTTCAGAACAATAAAAATGGGGATGACAGTGATTGATATTTCATTCCCTTCAGAGGAAATGACAAATACATATATAAAGACCACATTTCATATGCCTGATTTGGATCTAATGGATTGCTTTTAATGACGACACAAAATAGGTCACTTGGAAAAAAAAAAAGTGCATTCCATAGACTTCCAAGTTCAATAACTGATCTTCAGCGTTAAACTACTTCAATTTAACGCAAGGTATTTAAATCCTACACATCTCTCTCTCTTCCTGATCTGTGGCTTAGTCCTTTATTCGCACTCATTTACATGTGACAGTTGTGAAAAGTTTCCTCTGATATTTACTAGACCATTTAACATATAATTTCCCTCACTTTCTCAATATGTGCATTTTTACAGCAATACCTGTTAAACTACCAAAGGTAAAGATATTCATATATATATATATATATATATGTATATCTCCTAGCTCCTAAACTTATTTACTCCCGGGTGGGGGGTGCATTGCTACAGAGGAGGTCAAAGCAAACCCTGAAGGGGAGGGTCGGCCATCAAATCGAACAGGGAAGACAGGTCGCAGGAGGCAGTGCCAGACCCAATTCAATACACCTTCACTGCGCCACTTGCTAAGCTCCCCCCGCCCCAAAAAAGAAACAAACCCACCACCAAAACCCTCGGAAAAAAACATCCAGGCGGTGTCACCACCAGCGGGCCCGAGGCGTGCCCCCGGGGACCGGAGCCTGCGGGCAGGCCCGCGTCCGGCGTCCGGGGAGCCGGCCGGGCAACGATGGCCACCCGGGGGTCCGGGCCTCGGGCGCCCGTCTGGCAGCGCCGGCGGCAGCAGCCTCGCCCGCCTCGCCGCCCGCCCGCCCGCCGGCCGCCCCGCCACCGCCGCGGCCGCTTACCGGGGCCGCTTCCCCCCCGAGGCAGTCCTTCAACGGTTGCCGAAGTCAGAGCACCACCCCGCGGCGGGGCACGTCGAGCCAAGCCGGCAGCTCTGGGAGCCCCGCAGCGCCGCCACTCTCGCGAGAAGCCAGCAGGTCCGAGAAGTGGGTGGGGAGGGGAGAGGAAGGGAGGGGCACTTAACGGTGGCTGCTGGTTCTGCGCCGGATCCGGCACAGGGGCGGCCGCCATTGTGCTTTGCTGAAGACGACTGTGCTTTCGGTCCTGAGGCCCAGAATCGCAAGAGGAAGACGGCGGTGTGACTGCAGCGAAGGGGGGGACGCGCCCTGCTCGGTGCCCGCCAGGGTAATGAGTGCCGGCGGGAGCCCGGGGCGCTGGTTCAGGACCAGGCCGCGGGTGGGGGAGGGGAGCACGGGGCGCAGGCCCCGGCACCGGGGCGGGGGCCGCCGCCGGGGTCTGCGTGTGGACCGGGGCCGGGGCAGGGCCGTGCTCGCCCGGGTGTGGCGGCAGAGCCGGGTGGGCGATCGCCGGGACGCACTGGGCAGAGGTCCGGGGGCCGGGTGCTGGCCGCCTCGCTGCTGTCCGGCCCGTGTCCGGCGGCCGAGTTTGTGACGGGTGAAGGCAACAGATTGTGCGTCTTGCTAATGGATGCGTGTGGGCGAGGGGAGAGGGGCTGGGACCCCACTTGGCCCGGCGCGGCCTGCCCCGGGGGCTGCTGCCCTAGGATCCCCCCCACCCCACCCCGAGCCTTGCAAGTCTTGGGGGTGTCGTGAGTGAGGTATTGCGTGTGGGAGGGGAGACTCGGGGCTTGGGGAGAGCTCGGCCCGGGACTGGAGTCACTTTGTCACTCGGGTGAAGATCTCACTTTGCTGGCTCTACTGTCCAAATATCGCGACACTTGTATGGTGGTGGTGGTGACGGTGGTGACCCGGTAGCCTTCGAATTTAAAATAGGTGCTGCTTCACAGCAAAAGAGGACCTGTTGGCTTCCGAAGTTAAAAACAAGACAGGGAAGGTGCGAGTAGTTCAGTCCGCACTTGTTGGGAGGAAACTGCGTAGTGAAGATGAATGTGTACAAACACATCTAAATTCCCTAATTAATACTCCCCCCCCACACACACACACACAAGTAGATACTAATAGGCGGGGAAAATCTCTGTGTGAGTAATACATCGTCACGACTGGTCACTGTCTGGTGATGTGCCCAGTAACACTGAATTTAGTAACCCTGCATCCCCGCACCAGGAGCGCTTGTAGGATTTTTGGTTTGTTTGTTTTTTAAACGAAACTCTTTATTTTTCATGGCTTTAAATGTCTTCCTCCTAGCTACCCATTTCTATCCAGAACTAAGAGGCAAATAAGCACTCGAAATAATTATTTATTTGAAAAATCCAACTATTATTGTTAAGAAGGCAGATACTATTTTCATGAGGTAACAAGACATTTCTTTCCAGAAATGGGGTCAGTAGCTTCTCCAGCGTTTCGGGGAAACAGCAGCAGTGCTATTGCAGTGCTGAGGCAGAGCAGGAGTCAGAATTTTGCCCTGATTATTTGACCTCTTCAGATTTCCTTGGGTCCATAGTTGATTCCTAGATATTGGATTGAATTATTAGATGGAGTACTATGTGAAGCAGTCAACACACCTGGAAACAGAGTATTTGCAGTGTGAATTTTTTAATGAATATAAACAAAGGGAGTTGATGGTTAAATCCAGCCATCAACCTTCGTTTACAGCCAAAGATTCTGATTAGAAAAACCTTAAAAATGACTACCAGTAGTGTGGGCCCTCTCCCTCACACAAACAACATACAACATGCTTACTGCTTCATATGCAACTGTATGTTTTTAAGTTATGTATTCCAAATTTAAAAGAAAAAAATACTGTTTACAACTCATCACCTTAAATGACTAATGTACATGGTCTTAGGTTATTTTCAGTTTTATGATAGGCCAAGTGTCTTTTTATGGAACCCTAACTTCCTCTGCATACTAAGCACCTGGCTCAGTCTTTGAGCTATAACCCCAACCCTGGGTGAGCTCTCTTGAGTAAGAATTCCTACTTAAGTACAGGGCTTGCCTTTTTCTGCCACATTGACAAGTAGACTAATTTTCCCACATTAAAAACAGGACATAAAGATACCCCAGTATGTTCTACAGGATGATGTCATGACATCAGTTTGGACATAAGTCATTCATGAATTGTGGAGCCAATTTTTAGTCAATTCTATTTCCATTTCTCCACACTCCATCTGTTGTATGTACTAGAGTTAACCACATTTTAAGTTTAGGAAAGTGATTTTTATGAGGCAAAATTTGTTAGGTTGTATAAAACATTTTTGATAATTTGTGATTTGTCTGATTATAAATAAGGCTTCACATTACAAGAATGGACACAGCATCTTCCATCCACAACTAACTCATGAATTAGAATAATGTGTAAACAATATATATTGTATTATAGTAGTACCATAGGAACAAAAAGAAGGGGTAATCTTGGGAGAAAATAACAGGAAGTATTTCTTGAACTAAGATGTGAAGGATAACTAGGACTTAGATTAGAAAAACAAACCCCCAAGTCATGATTCTTTTTAAAAAAGGAAGTGACTTTGCTTCCTGTAGCTGAAGTTTTCAGTAAATTGAATTTTATCATCTGAAAGATCTGTATTGTATTAGAAAGTTAATGCTCTCTGCTGTGTAATGGAGAGCTTGTTTTATCCCTAAACCAAATAAAAATTGTTTTTAGATAATTTTTACTGATAGATTTCTTCTGTTCCACATAGTTAAGTGCATAAGTGAAGTAGAAGCTTGCATCAAACCAAACTGTGTGCGGGTGTGTGCACGCGTGTGCATGCTGGTCCTGGGGCTTGAACTCAAGGCCTCCTGTCGGTCCCTGAGCTTTTGCGCTCAGGACTAGTGCTCTTCCACTTCGAGCCACAGCCACTGGTTTTGGTAGTTAATTGCAGATAAGAGTCTCAGGAGTTTCCTTGCTTTGAATTGAGATCCTCAGATCTCAGCCTCTTGAGTAGCTAGGATTAGTGGCGTGGTCCACTGATGCCCAGTGTCAAACCAAACTTTGAAGCAACAAATTAACCTTAACTAATTTGTTCAAATATAAATAATGAGTCACTTAGAATGATTACAATTTAAAATTAAAAAGATTTTGAGTTCTCACTAAAATTACAAGCATTTTTCAAGCAGAATTCCAGTGTAGTGATTCCATTTATCAAATTGCAAATTGTTTATTGCTTTACAAAAAGTTTATCTTTCTTTCTTTTTTTTTTGTTGGTTGTGGGGCTTAAACTCTGGGCCTGGGTGCTATCCCTGAGCTCTTCAGCTCAAGGCTAAGGCTCTACCACGTGAGCCACAGCGCCACTTCCCAAAAATTTTATCTTCAGTAAAGTTACTAATAGGTCCCCTCTCCCCCCAAAGAAAGCTCATAGAAAGGATAAAATTACTTTGTAATTTGAGATCTTTTCACTGATTTTAATGTTTAGTTTTTCTATTCTGATAGGAATGTAATGTGGTCAAAGCAGGTTTTTCCTGTTCTCAGATATGTTTCTCTGACTTCACTGGTTAGACTAGATCAGGTGAACACTTGATTTTAAATCACCTAATGCATTGTGTCCAAAGAGGGAAAGGTTTGAACCCTGAAAGCTCCTTACATGTTTCTCACTTTGCACAGAACCCTAAAATGGTTTATAGTTACTGAAGCATGATACCTATAAAGAGCAAATTATCTTTTAAAGTGCTGTTTTGTAGGCAGGCAACAACATAATACTTTCCCATGGAGGTATTAAATTTTTACCTGATTAGTATTTTAAGATTAAGTATATGTGTGTTAGTATGAATCAGCCAAAAATGAAAAGAGATAAGGGCCCCCAAAATTTTGCCACAGAGCTTTCCTCACTTGATCATTTTTATCCTCCATGTCTTTTCACTAGATTGGTAAACTGAATATATCTCATTGAGGAAAAAAAATTCCAGAGCTGTTTTAGGAGGGAAAAAAAAGAACACCAAAAAGATATGCAGCGATGGACAAGTAATATAATTGTAACTGTGCTTGTGAAGATTCTTTGTCTTGTGATACATTGGTGTTTTGTGGGGTCACTTCCCTTATACTATGAGTTTATTGTGTACTAATGTACTTTTGGTAAAACCAGTGCTATAACTTCCCTTGATATTTAAGACAAATTTTTGACTCAGACACAGTTAGAAGTAGGTTTTTCATAATAGATTAAGGATATATGGTAATAGTATAATATATAATAGTAGGAAAGTAAAAATTATGGCACATTAGAAATCACCTCAGGGGCTGGGAAGGTGGCTCAGCGGTAGACTGTTTACCTCGCGTGCATGAGGCCCTGGTTTTGATTCCTCATCGCCACATAAGCAGAAAAAGCCAGAAGTGGCGCTGTGGCTCAAGTGGTAGAGCACTAGCCTTGAGCTGAAGAGCTAAGGGACAGTGCCCAGGCCCAGAGTTCAGGCCCCACAACTGGACCCAAAAAAACAAACAAACAAAAAAAACCCCAAAAAACAGATTAAAAAAATATATTGCCTGTTGGGCAATATAACTGGTTTTGTTTGGGTTCCATCATTCAACTGGAGGATTCCCAGGGTTGAAAGATACAAGATGTGGTCTCACAAATCTGGTAGCTGTTGGTTGAAATTTAGGTCATGTGATCTTTTGTGCTAAGAGGATATCTTAGGACACGAGAGGAAGATGAGTAGGAATGTTCTATTTTGGGCAGTGATCTTACTAGCAGAAAAAACAATGAAATTGAAATTGGATTTTTCCAGCAAGAAACAGTAGCTTCCTGGCAATTATGTAAATGTTTTTTGTTTTGTTTTTTGGTTTTGGGGTGTGTGTGTGTGTGTGTGTGTGTGTGTGTGTGTGTGTGTGTGTGTGTGTGTGTGGTCATGGGGCTTGAGTGTGTGTGTGGTCATGGGGCTTGAGCTCTGGTAAATGTTTTTTGTTTTGTTTTTTGGTTTTGGGGTGTGTGTGTGTGTGTGTGTGTGTGTGGTCATGGGGCTTGAGCTCTGGTAAATGTTTTTTGTTTTGTTTTTTGGTTTTGGGGTGTGTGTGTGTGTGTGTGTGTGTGTGTGTGTGGTCATGGGGCTTGAGCTCTGGTAAATGTTTTTTGTTTTGTTTTTTGGTTTTGGGGTGTGTGTGTGTGTGTGTGTGTGTGTGTGTGTGTGTGTGTGTGTGTGTGTGTGTGTGTGTGTGTGTGTGTGGTCATGGGGCTTGAACTCTGGACCTGGGTGCTATCCCTCAGCTCTTTAGCTCAAGGCAAGGACTACCACTTGAGCCACAGCACCACTTCCAGTTTTCAGGTGGTTTATTGGAGATAAAGAGTCTCATGGACTTTCCTGCCCGGGCTGGCTTTGAACTGTGATCCTCAGATCTCACTCAGTCTCCTGAGTATTTAGGATTACAGGCCCAAGCCACTAGCGCTGTGCTTAGGTTTTCTGGTTGTTGTTTTTTTTGCCAGGTCCTCAGACTTGAGCTCTGGCCTGAATGCTGTCCCTGAGCTTCTTTAGTTCAAGGCTAGCAGAACCATCGCGCTACTTTTTGGTTTTGAGTGGTTAATTGGAGATTTTCTGCAGAGACTAGCTTTGAACTGCAATCCTCAGATCTCAGTATTCTGAGTAGCTAGGATTTCAGGCATGAGCCACTAGAGCCCGCCCAGCAAAGTACATTTTCTTAAACACAGTAGATCACACAACTTTTCAAATTTGATAAACTAAGACTCCAAGCCCTGCAGTGGTACTACATTGGGAAAGCTGGGGTTTGTTGTTGTTATTTGTTTGTTTTTATTTGTGGCCAGTCATTAAGAATGAACTCAAGCATCCTCATGGCTGTTTGTACTCACAGCCACTCTTGGACTTGAGCCGTGCTCCCACCTCCAGCTTTTTGCTGGCCAATTTTTTGTTTGTTTTTTGTTTTTTTGGGTCCAGTCGTGTGGCCTGAACTCTGGGCCTGGTGCTGTCCCTCAGCTTTTCAGCTCAAGGCTAGCGCTCTACCATTTGAGCCACAGCGCCACTTCTGCCTTTTTTTTTTTTTTTTTTGCTTATGTGGTGCTGAGGAATCGAACCCAGGGCCTCATGCATGCAAGGCAAGCACTCTAACACTGAGCCAACTTCCCAGCCCCGCTGGCCAATTTTACATTAGAGTCTAGTAGTGTTCAATATTCAAATCTCAGCCTCCTGGAATATTGCTGTGAGCCACCATAACTGGGCAAAACTGCAGTCTAGGGTAGGAGAACTCCATACTGTCTAAAGTTTTGTTTGTATTTGAGGTATGATATCACTCTAACTCTAGTGTGTCCTTGAACTCAGAATCCTTTTGTTTAAGCCTTCTGAGTGCTGGGAGTAAAGATGTGCACTACCACTCAATGCTTCATTTTATGTTTTTATAGTATTTCAAAGTTTTCAAGGTAATAATTTAGAGAGGGGAGTTCTAAGGAAAGATTAAAAAACAAAACAGACTACCAAGCTAGGTGCCAGGGGATCAAGCCTGTAATCTAAGCTTCTCAGGAGGTGGAGATCTGAAGATGAAGTTTGAAGCAACGCTTGAGGTGTGGCTCTCCTTACTGAGCATTAGCTAAGAAGAGCAGAATGGGAGAGCCAAACCCAGATCCAGCACATACATGAAAATGCAGCCCTGCCTTCTTTGCAGTTGACCAACAGAAATCCAGAAGTAGAGCTGTGACCTAAATGGTAGAGTGGCAGCCTGAAGTGAAAAAGCCTAGGGGATAGGACCCTGAGTTCAAGGGCCAGTACAAACAGTTTTTCTTTTCTTGTGAAAGCAACATATGAATCTGCTAAGGCTAGACAGCTTTCTTTTCTTGTGAAATCAACATATGAATCTGCTAAGGCTAGACAGAACAACATAAAATCTTGCATAATTGTCAGAAACATAATTTGTGAAATGGGCGGGCTCACTTGCATGCATCCCCATCCTAAGGCTTGAACTCCAGGTCTGGGTGCTGCCCCTGAGCTTTTTTGCTCAAGCTAGTGCTTACCACTTGAGCCACAGCTCCATGTCTGGCTTTTTTTGGCATGCTCATGGATCCTGCCTGGGCTGGCTTCAAACCATGATCATTAGATCTCAACCTCCTGAGTAGTGAGGATTACATGCAAACTAAAACAGCATCCAGCTTAAGCAGTTTTTAATAGTCTTTTCAAAATACTTGATTTGGCATTTGTTCTATTTTTTTTCCTCAAAGTCTTTGTTAATATGCCTTATTTCAGTATATAGTCATCCCATTTTACATAGAAAACTCATTTTTGGAAATAATTTGATTCCTATCACCTTTTTTGAATTACTAGATTGGTTGTAGATACCTTAAATCAAATTTGGCATTTGAGTTTTCATTTTTATTATCTAGGCAACATCAGTCTGGGGCAGCAGGTCTTCACAAGGGCTGTCTTTTTATTGGAATTACTTTTGGATTGTTTGATGGCACTGGAGTTGGAACTCACAAATTTGCACTTGCTAGACAGGTGCTCTACTACCTGAGCCATGCCTTCAGCCCTCTTATTAGAATAACTAAATTTGAAGTTTGTGGTCCTTTGGAATTCAGCTTATTGTGAGAAAAAGTACATTCTCACCTTTTTTATGTCCTAAGCTTTGACTTCATTCCACCGCTGGCAAAAGAACATTTAATTTGGAACTTTACAAATGCCCTCAGGGCTGAATTGGTTGTCTTAGTTATCCTTTCTGAGTTCCCATTTTACTTATTAGTGACCTAATAATTCTTGTCAGTTCTCCATTGCTTTTATAAAGAATCTCTTTATATTTTGTCAGTCATGTCTTACTGTTTTAAAGAAGCACTGCTTTGAAAGGCTGCTATTATCAAGAATTGAAAATTCTATCTCCCAAGTATGGTTTGTATGTCTCTTCTATTAGACTTACACTGTAGCATGGTTACTTGTTTTATTCTGTTATGATGAGAAGGTAAATCTAATTATCATATTCTATTATTAGATACTCACTAACTTTTAAAAGCTGAACTTGCCTGGGCACCAGTGGCTCATGCCTGTATCCTAGCTACTAAGGAGGCTGAGGTCTGAGGATAGTGGTTCAAAGCCAGTCTGAAAGCTCTGTGAGACTCTTAGCACCAATAAACTATTCAGAAAAAGCTGAAAGTGGTGCTGTAGCTCAAGTGGTAGAGCACTAGCCTTGAGCAAAAATGAGCTCAGAGACTGCCCACGCCCAGAGTTTGAGCCTTGGGACTGGCTTAAAAAAAAAAAGTTGAATCAGAACTAAGGTGGGTTTTTTTTTGTTGTTTTTTGTTTTTGGTGAAAATACCATACAGAGGGGTTACAATTACATGGGCAAGGTAATGAGTACATTTCTTTTTTTTGGGGGGGGGAGTGGGGTTCGGTCTTGGGTCCTGAACTCTGGGCCTGGGCTCTGTCCCTCAGCTCTTCAGCTCAAGGCTAGCGCTCTACCACTTGAGCCACAGCACCACTTCCGGCTTTTTTCTTCTTGCTTATGTGGTGCTGAGGAATCGAACCCAGGGCCTCAGGCATGCAAGGCAAGTGCTCTACCACTTTTCTTCCCAGGCTGACTTTGAACCAGGATCCTCAGATCTTAGCCAAATAGCTAGGTTTATAGGTGTGAGCCTTCAGCATCCAGCTGCCAGTCCCCCTTTAAACTTTTCATTGGTGCATAATTCCATAGGCAGATAATATAAATAATCTCCCTGTTGATTTTGGTGACCTTTGTGTATGTGGTCATTGTTCCCACCACTGAGCAAGCCAGTTTTAACCAATAAGTGACTCTACTGCTTCATAATTAGCTTCTCAGATAATTTCCTTTTCTAATGTAACATTAAAATAATAGAATTATATTTTAGTTCTGGAGGTTGGGAAGTCTAAGATTGAGACGTGCATCTGGTGAGAACCCCCTTATATCATCTCAGG